CCTGATTCCAAATGGGACATCGGTCCCCCCAAATCATTTCCCGTTAGTGTTCTCTACTGGTGCAAGAGGTAAAGTATGTTACATAGTTTTAGCTAATTGGTAAACAAATGGTTAATTCAGTACTTCACTTCTCTAGTAAATGCTTATTTGAATGAATTTGACAGTAATGCAACTGAATTTATGTGTGCAAAGAAATATCAGTCCCCTAGACACTATTTGCATAGGAAACTAGCGTGTTGCAGTTATGTAACTGACCAAAAAATTTTATTTGTGTGAAAACTGTAGGGATCTTCTATTGCTACAACATCTTTTAGATTTTAGAGCAATACTTGAGATTTCCCTGAGATCACTTACATGTCACATAAGAGAAGTTAAGGTGTGAGATATACTGCAAGGTTAGTGGTTCAAACCTGTAACAGTTGCTCTGTGGGAGAATGGTGAGGCTGTCTGCTCCCATAAAGATTTGCAGGCTCGGAAACCCTGTGTAGGATCACTGTGAGTCAGAATATGGCTGTGAGTAACCCAGTGTTGCCATTCGTAATCATTTATCCAACACTACACTGTCCATTGGCTCTGAATGGATTTGGGCTGTTTCCAGCCATCAAGCCCAACTTCAAAAGATGAGGATGTAACTATTTGATTCAGATAATGGCATCTATTTGAAGGAGAGAGTTGAAAGAAACTTTAGGTTTTAGGAGACCTGGTCTAAGTTTTTCTTTCTGTTTAGTAAATATATACCCTGTTATAATATCAGTTCTCTGCAGATAAAGAATGAGACCATTATTAAATATGTAAGCTTTAAATTCACTTCCAGTTTTTATAGCCTGTAAGTTAGTGGTTGTCAACCTTCCTAATGCCTTGACCCTTTAATACAGTTTCTCATGTTGTGGTGACCCCCTACCATAAAATTATTTTCATTGCTATTTCATAATTGTCATTTTGCTACTGTTACGAATTGGGCCACCCTTGCAAAAGGGTCGTTCGACCCTCTTTGTTCACGACCCACAGGTTAAGAACCATTGCTGGGAAGGCTAGCTAGGCATGAGTCAGAATTAACCTGATAGCAACTAATGACAGTGGGGTCTGAAAGCAGGAAAATAATTCAAATGGAATCTTTGAAAAGATTTGTTCTTTTCTAAAAGGCATGTGGGAGTGGGGTCTTGTTAACTCCGTATATGAACTTCTTTGGAAGCATTTTCTTTCCATATTTTACTCATAAGTAAGTGGAATATGTGACTGCTTTAACTAATGGCCCTATCGGTTCATTATTGGAGTAACAGTGTTTGAAATAATGGCTCTCAAGTGATGAACACTTTTGCTAAGGTTTTTGTTTTTAAATTTATAGATCCTACATGATTACATTGATTTCCAGAATCAAGTGGGTTGGTTTTTTTTCCCTTCAGGACAGGTGCTATTAAATAACAGCTAGCCTTAATCTTCGTGATTCAAATGCAACTTGCTAATACTCTCAAGGTACAAAACAAAAAATGTTATCCTAACTAGAAGCATCAAAACATCAGCCTACCTTACTTAGTTTAATGAAGGAGGAGTGTCCCATTTAGAGCCAAAAGGGAAAAAAATGCTAATATGTGAAATAATACATATTAATACAACAAATTGCAAAGATGTGTGTCACTGAGGTGTGATCATGAGCACATTCTCTTGATTACAAAGCTGCTTGTTAATGTGGCAGGTACAAGATTCTGATGCTTATTTGATTGACTATGATAGTATTTAAAGAGCTAATTGGAATCCTCCCAGCTGCTCCATGAGGGATAAACTTGAAGATATGCTACTGAAAAGGTTACAGCCAAGGAAAGAGTAGAACTGCTGTGAGTCAACTCACTAGCACCTTAGCTCCACAGGTGTCTGCAAGCTTACTAAATTATGGGGATTCCTGGGATGTAGGAGATACTGAATGATAAGGAGACATGTTTAGGCCATACTCCTGTGAAATTAACTTAAGCAGTGAAATTCCATAGTAAATCAAATGTTGAATGTATTGTTTTAGCCAACAACACTGGGAAGAAGCAATTGGACACTAGAGAAGCAAATAGAAAATCTTATATTTTTCAATTTAATTTTTTATTAACAGGATTTTGTTGAGGCAGAAAAAGGTTTTTAAAAGTTTGTGGCACACTTAGCTGTGAAGTCAAACTCCTAGGCATCCATTGTATATTTTTTTACAGTCTTTAGGGCCTATGTAACAGGGTTAAAAACCCCCATGCTATTTTGTGTGTAACTCCCATTTCTTCTTTAGCTCTTCCAGTGTCCCTACGAGGAAAGGCTGATTACCATTGCTACAGATAGGGACAGCTATCTAGGAGTGTTGTTACGTGCTTCCTGGCTGGCAGTTACCATTTGGGATTTGGACAGTGTGACCTACAGTGGGCTCTAGAGTGCCTAACACCAGGAGAGAGGCTCATTGCTGCTCTTGACGCTTGCTATTCTTGAAACTACACAGAAAAATAGAGAATGTTAAGATGGATTACATGAAGATAGAAGGGATAAAAAAGTTTTCATTGTGTATTTTCTTCCTTTTTTTCAGTTTTGTAAAGGGGAGACAGCAAAAGAAAGCCAGTCCACCCACACCAACACAGAAGAAATAAATTCCCTTTTCGGGACTACAGATCATCATGTGTGTGCTTCCTTGCTCCCTTTGAACTCGGTCCTTTTTGATTTCTCAAATATAGCCATTTGAAAATCAGAGAGCTTCCAGGACCGCAAATGCACCCTAGTAATGTGACAATGGACATTTGCTTGCTTCCTTGTTCCTAAGGTGGATCTGAATGGCCCTTGTCCCTTCCTCCCACATACTTTCTCCTACTGTTACTCCTGTAAACTGAGTCCCCCAGTGTTGCTAGGGGTTAGAATACGATCGAGTAGTTCAGTTTATTGAGTGCTTTATTATGGACCGCACTGTTGAAAGGCCTTCCTATCTGTTAATCTTTACAACAACCTGTTATAGTAGACCCTGCCTTTACCTCCATTTTAAAAATGAGGGTTGTATATACTATGATTTTTGTCAGGGATTATTAGTGAATTAACTTTATTAGTGGTAAGTCAAAGGGATGAGCAGGAAATGAGTAATGTAAAATTGATATTGAAAAAGGAGGGTTTTATTTTTACTTTATCCCTCAAGGAAAAATATATGGTATATTTAAAAATATGTAATTCTGGAAGGTCTACACGTCAATGTAAATTAGTTGATCTTGTTTATCAGAATTAAAGGTGGACTGTATTGATATCTAGGAGCCCTGGTGGCATAGTGATTGTGTATAAGGGTTCAAAACCACATGCTGCTCCGAGGGAGCTCCTGTAAAAAGGTACAGTCTCAGAAACTCACAGGGGCAGTTCTACCCTGTCCTATAAGGTCGCTGTAAGTCGGGATCATCTTGGTCGTAGTGAGTGATGCTGTTATCCAGAAAGATGCACTAAAGGTGGTAAGTGGGGGGAATCCACCAAAGTATATTCATGCTGAACCCCCAAAAAGGAAAAAAGACCTGTCATTGGATCTGAAGCTCAGAGAAACTAACCAAGGGCAAACAGGTTGAGAAGTCGAAAGTGATAGTTCTAGACAATCTAGGATGATAAACAGAAGGATGGAAAAATCAGACGTGATCTTTGAGTGGGAACAGAAGCTTATTTGGCCCTAAGGTGTTTCACAAGCCCTAGAAATGGACATTTTCTTGTGGGAGTTGTAGAGCAGCATTTTATGGGAGAAGAACTTGCTGCATAATTGTTGTAAAGGTTAACCCATGCAACCTGTAAACAAGGTTAATTGTAACAAATTGGGAAGTCCAGGTTTTATACTGTTAAGCAGGTTCTTTTGCCTAGGACTCCTCAGCATTGTACTTTGATGAGCATTTTCTAGTAGTGGGGGTAAAAGGAAGAACACAGTAGTTCAGAAATGCAGCTGGCTGAGTCCACAGACCTGTTGGTTTATGGTTCCTGTTGGGTGTGTGAATAGTGGTTTGCACCACCAATGATAAGCAGTATTACAGTGGACAGTGGCTAGTGGGTCCAGGAGTAGGCAGGTGGTTTCTGTAGGAGGGAAACAGTTTAAGATTGATCCTAGAGAAAGTATCCCAGAATGAAGGGTCATTACAAGTATTTGGGAACCATTACATATTTTGCTCTAGAGTTAAAAAATTCATGACAATACAGTCTATGGTTAATCTAAAAGCAATCTATTTTTAATCTCAGAAGAATGCTATCCATGGAGAAGTCAAACTTGCGAGTCTGCATTTTACTTGGTTATCATGTTAGACGTCAAGATGAGCCTATTTATACATTTAATAGATAGACTGCACATAACCTCTGGCTGACTTTACAGGTGTGATACATTAATAATGGATGAAGATTATATTTGTATTGATGTATAACCTGACTGGATTCTCCTCTCCTCCTCTCCTAGCTGTCCCACTAGCTGCCTCCCATTACTCTCACTACTCTCCACTACTGTCTGCAGATGCTGACAAAGCCTAAGTTATTTTCTGCCCGTAGTTCATGGAATGTCTTCGCAACCTCCAGCTCAGTTGTCGAATACCCACCCGATGACTCTCTTACCTCTCTGGCTTCTGTGACATTGCACCATCCCAGGCTTGGGCCACCTTGCTGCCTGCTACTTGTCATTTTGCTTTGTGGCCTCCTCTTCCTCTGCTGACTTCTATGTTTTACGCAAGGGCTCGGCTCTGGACCCTCTTCTCTGCTTATTCTCAGTGATCTCCAAGTCAACTGGCTCTCTCTACACCCACATATTAACCATTGAGCTTAAGTCACAGGTATCTTAAGTGTTTTAAATGTCTCACACACACCTCAAGTTCAGTGTGCCCCAAACCAAATTCTTGATAACTCCCTTCATTTCCCAACGTGCTCTTTTCTGTGTTATGCTGGTGTAGTGGTTACCCATGGGGCTGCTAACTGAAAGCAACCTTCTCTCTGGGAAAAAGACGAGGCTTTCTACTCCTATGAAGTTAGTTTCAGAAACTCAGTGGGTAGTGGTTCCAATGAGTTGGCATTGACTTGATGGTAGTGAATTTGGTTTTTGGTTTGGTGTTAATGGTACCTGCCACCATCCATCTTTAATTTAAATGCAATCATTAATTCTCTTTTGCACTCCTCAATTCTTTCTTCCACCATCCTCATCTAGGCCACTGTCACATCAACTTGAATCACTGTACAGCCCTCTTCCCTTGCCTGGTATCCTCACTTTTGTGCCCCCCCGGCATCTTTTAAAAACTATCAATTTGATCATGGCATCCTTCTGTAAAGCCTGTAATGGTTTCCTATGACATAGATGGCTTTCAGGGACCTCTGTGGTCTGGCCCTTTCTTGTTCTTGTACTCCCTTGCTCACAATGCTCCGGCTGCTTTCAGCCCCTCCTATCTGCCAGCCTCCTCCTGGAATTGGCCTTCATCCTCACTGCTGCTTTGACTGCAGTCCATCTTCTGCTTGTCCTTTGCTTGGCTGGCTCCATGAAGGTGCTCAGGCTTCACCTTGGTCATGGACTCTCCTTAGTAGGTTGACATACCCATCCCCTTTCTTCCTTTCTTTCCTCATGGCTTGGTGTGTGTTTTTATTTCAGAGCACTGGCCTGGATTTGTGTTTACTCTTTTACACCTGTCTCCACCTTGTTTGTAAACTCCTTAAAGCAGAGACCATGTTAGTTTTATTCACCAATCAGTGAATACCCGACGCCATCGAATACATTTTCTCTGAGGAGTGACTCCTGGATTTGAACCACCGACCTTACAATTAGCAGTTTGGGCCTTAACTCATTGTGCTACCAGGGCTCCTTCAAGGCGGAAGTGAAAGAAAAGTCTGATAAAATCTGGCAAGAAGGAACAACAATGAAGAAGGATGATAACAGACTGAATTTTCAGAGAGAAATATTCAGAGGTATCACATGCTATAGTGTCCATGCTAATGGAGGGAAAGTAATGCCCTTTCCTTCCAAAGTAGGTAGTTTTCACACCTTCAGATTATACCCCAGCCTCAGCTAAATGCCTTGAAAATACTTGGTCTTAGTCAAAGGAAGGGAAGAGATGAGACTACGTGGTTGGATCAATACAAATCAATCAGTCTCTGGAAAAGCAATGCAGTATATGCACATGTTGTGAGCCTGTATTTGTTCATGTAATATACCATCTTTTTGTATTATACTATACAGTGATACTACTCAGTGAAGTTGTAAAGCTGTTGTAACATGCTGATGGTTACTCTTTTTTTTTTTTAAGGCTGCATGCCTTTAATGTCATGTCAGTAGTAGAGACACAATAGTTTGAAGAATAGCTATTATCTAGAGAAGATAGTTGTCTTTGGTATAGCCTAGTTCAATGTCTGGTTCATAGGTACTGAACGCACTCATGTTAACCAAACTTGTTAGACACTCGTTATAAAGAAAGAATTGATTGGTTTTTAAAAATTGGAGTAAACCAAGTAGATGAGCTACTTAAGCTTATTGATCTCTCTTTATGGAAAGAGTCATGATAGACTTGAAATATAAGCCGAGGGTTGCTTGGACATGAGATAGGGTATTTTTACCATATTCGTGGAATGGTATTTTTGTGGTTGGAGAAGAAAACTTGCTTATGTACTATGTTAAGAATCCTAGTTGTGGTGCTGTAATAAAATTGAGCTGTCAATGGGAGTCTTTGTTGAGTTGGCACTGTGTAGGGGACCGAGATGAGTTAGTCTCTCTGAACGAGGACCTAACCATCTAGTTGAGGGACATGTGCATTACCCAAGCCTGGGGACAAAAAAAAAAAAAGTTTTATTTGTCCCCAGACTGGTATGGGAGATTTGTAATACCTTATGGTTCAAGTGGTTTTTTTGAAGTGCAACGGAATGTTACAATACTTTTTCTTTGAACTCACAGGTTCTCCTGAAAAGAAAGCTGAGCATTTATCCAGGGCTCCAGAACACAGCACTGTCAACCCTATCAAGAATGTAAAGACAAGTCCAGTTTCTGCGGAGAACCGGACTGGGAAGAAAATGCCAGAGAATTCATCAGTACAAGGTCCGGTGCACAAAGGGAACGATGAATCTGAAAGTGACTTTGAATCAGATCCTCCTTCTCCAAAGAGCAGTGAAGAGGAAGAGCAAGAGGATGAAGACGTTCTTCAGGGAGAGCAAGGGGATTTTAATGATGATGATATTGAACCGGAAACGCTGGGCCATAGACCACTCCTTATGGATTCTGAAGAGGAAGAGGAAGAAGAAAAGCATAGTTCTGATTCTGATTATGAGCAGGCCAAAGCCAAGTACAGTGCCCGGAGCCCTGTCTACAGAGACAAGTCTGGTGGTAGACAAATCCAAGATCCCAGTGGAACACTCCTCACCCCAACCCAGCTGCCTTCCAGCGGTGGGGTGGAGACTCCCAAACAGGAGTTTGATGTCTTCGGCGCTGTCCCCTTCTTTGCCACGCGTGATCAACAACTTCCCCCAGGAGAGGACGGAACGAACCTTTCCCAGAAGACCCAGTTTCCTCCCGTAGGACACGAGCAAGAAGAATTTGATGTGTTCACCAAGGCACCCTTCAGCAAGAAGGTGAGTGCAGAGGACTGCCCGGCGGTGGGGCCAGAGGCCCATGCTCTACCTGCTTGTCCCGAAAGTGTGGATATGTTTGGCTCCACTCCTTTTCAGCCCTTCCCGGCACCAGTAAGCAAAAGTGAAAGCAACGAGGACGTGTTTGGGCTTGTGCCCTTTGAGGAAATAACTGGGAATCAGCAGCAGAAAGTCAAACAGCGGAACTTACAGAAGCTGTCCTCTCGCCAGAGGCGAACAAAACAGGACCTGTCCAAAAGTAACGGGAAGCGGCACCACGGCACACCCACCAGCACAAAGAAGACCCAGAAACCCACCTTCCGCACCCCAGAGAGAGCTCGCAGGCACAAAAAGGTGGGCCGCCGAGACTCTCAAAGTAGCAATGAATTTTTGACCATCTCGGACTCCAAGGAGAACATTAGCGTTGCCCTGACCGACAGGAAAGACCGAGGGCCTATCCTGCAGCCTGAGGAAAGTCCGCTGGACCCCTTCGGGGCCAAGCCCTTCCATCCTCCAGACCTGGCGAGGCACTCCTCACACCCTGGGCTGAGCGACCTTCTCGCCGACCACCACGCCGGCCTGCCGACGCGGCCGCGGCAGAACTCGCTACACGCCTTCCACAGCGCCGACGCCTTGAGAAGGGACGATTTCGGGGCCGTGCCCTTCACAGAGCTCGTGGTGCGCAGCATCCCTTCACATCCGCCCCAACAGTCCCCGGCCGTCGAACTAGATCCATTTGGTGCTGCTCCATTTCCTTCTAAACAGTAGATCCTTCTCATGGATTCTTGGCATTCACTCCTGTTTCAAAAACAAAAGTATGCACACAGTTCATTTTATGAGTTTGAAAAGAACATAATTTGTATAGCTCTTTATATCACTCATTCTTACAGGTCTATCAGAATAGGCCATTTAAAATAAACCAAATAGAAAAGGGAACTATTTCCACAATGTAGTAAAACTTGATGCCTCTTTTTAAAAGACTTCTGCCACGCAGGAAGAAAGGGGGCTAACTGGCCAGCTCCGATCAAGAGTGTCACTGCTGACAGGACAGCAGCGCAGCGGGGACATCTCTGTGGAAGCCTGCGGAACTCTCCTGGTTATGTAGCCACCTCACAAGGAATTGCAAAGCTGTACTGCTATTTCTGATAACAGAATGTCTCTTTTTTGGTGTGCCTCTCTATCCTAGCAGGCTCCTTCCTGAATCCAGCATTTAAAAAAGGAGGGTTATTTTGTACCTACACAGGCTGAGTTGGTCAAAAATAATCTAGTTCGCATCTGGGGAGTTCAGAGGTTTAGTCCTTCTATCTTTCTCTACCAAGCAGAGCCAGAAGTAATTGACTATTGTGCCTAAAACTCAGTCTCATTTTTATTTTTTTAAGTGCCATTAATGTGGAATATCTACGTGGAAGGCTTGAACAAAAATGAGAGATGAATTCTGATGTTTGGGCAGGGGCTGTGAAAGTGAAAACTAGAAATGAGGATAAAGGTTATATAGAAATTTTATTTCAGACAAAACTAGCTGAAATCTTGAGTTTTTATTTACAATGTAAAATCATGTGGCATAGAACTATACACTTTCTTAAATGATCACGCTCATCAGAATGTCCCCACATTGTGGACAGCAGTGATTTTCGTTAGGTTTGGAGGGCGGAATACTTTTAATACGATGCACTGAACAGTGAAACCCATAAAGCCTTACAGGCAGGACTCGCACATCCTGCTGCAAGTACCTCTGTCCTATTGCACAAGATCTCTTTGTGGGCATACGGCAGTGGATGGCAAGGGACTAGCTAGCAGCCTCACTCTGCTAATTGGTTGTGTCTTTAGAGAAAAGAACCCAGCTACCAAATTGCCTTTCTGTACACCACAAATCCTGATTTGATGTGAGATTTTCTAGAAATGATGTATGTGAAGGAACATATAGTATCTACTTCCTATGTCTCTTAGCTTTTAAGTTATAATTGCCTATACTTCCCAATCAAGTGAACATTTAGAGAGGTTTCTAGAACTGTTAAGCTTATGTTTCACATAAAGAGGCAGTGGCTCTTATAAACTCACACACTCTGATTGCTCTATTTTAATTCTTTGAACCCAATTAGTCTATTTATGAGTAATCTTACTCAACTCCCTTAATTGTAGTGCCCCAGTGAGATGAGCTGCTTGCCTGATTTCAGTTCTGAACTTGGGAGAAGCAAAGTGTGTTCATTAGAGATTCATCTTTACCTGAGTCACGTATATTTGTAGATAGGGAAGCCATGTGACTCTCAGTGTAGTAGAGACAGAGCGAGCATTCCTACTTAGGTCTTTACTTTTCAAGTTGGGCTATAGGAGTCCAGTTTTCCTCCTTGGCGCCATCTTTTTCAATTTCTTGTCCTTGTGCCAAAGGCAAATGTTAAATTTGCACCTTTTCTCCTGATTCTCAGGTTAAATAATACCACTAATGCAAATGCTCAAGTAGATGCTCTTTAAATTTTTACAGATTTGTTTCCTTGTAAAAAGTGAAGAGTTGATGATTCCATAAACTACAGTAAGCTTGATACTTTTTTATTTTTTAACAAAAATTTGTTGATGTGCACAATGAACTTCTTTGGTTATTTTAGTCCTTGCCTTTGGTCTCTGGAAAGAGTAAGGGGTGAACAAGTATGGCCTCCTTGGAAGACCTGTGTGAAATACCTAGAGTCTTACCTGATATTAACACCTTGCTCACACTTGCTTTTAAGTAGATGGAATCATTTTAAATTGAGGTACAGTAATTTCCCGGGTGACAAAAATCTTGCTTTATTACAGGGTCAACTTATACTTGCCTTTTAATGTTACATAACTGTGCCTTCACTTTGAAGTGATTGAACCAACCCTTACTTGCAACAAATCCTTCATCATAATCACCTTCCTTTGCATATGCAGCTTTTTACACCCTTTTTACACCTACACATTGGATTTAGACACGCACTTGGGCATGGATCTAGTTCGTAACCTGAAGTCTGCCAGTAGATCCTTTGGCATATAGTGCTGTACAGGGGTGCTTCAAAAACTTCATGGAAAAATACTAAAAGCTACTGGATTTTTTCCATGAACTTTGTGACACCTTTTTGCCTATGGGGAAGGAATGTGACACAGCTGAAAATACTTAAATTTAGTGCAGTACAGCCCAGTAGTGCCCTCTTGAGATCAATGTGGGCCGATTCCCTGGTTTTGATGAGGTGTTTTCTCAGGAGTGGAGATTTTTAGGGAAGCTTTCCATTTTCCGTCATCTCACTTCCCACAGTAGTTGGCTTCACACAGCAGGTGCCCTTGGTATGTCAAGAGAGCATCCCAGAACACCCGTCACAGCGCTGCTGTGCGAGCTCCCTTATGCTCCAACACTGGATTAAGGAAGGAAAATTGAAATTTAACAAAATTACATTCATACTATTATTTGGATATCTGCTGTGCTGCTTGATGAAATGATGTCATAACTCTAAACGTAGTATTCTTGAACATTACAATGGGAGGCAAACGTTATGAAGCTAGCAAAAATCCGTGGCCAAAGGTAATTCTCTCCTAACTGCTTTAATAATAATGCTTATTGATTGTGTGTCATCTTTTTTTTAAAGTGGACCACTTAATGATTTTATTATTAACATGAGTAAAATGTTAGTATTAACAATGACCAACTTTTATGGCATTGAAGAATGTATTTGCTAAGAGACACAAGTTGCTCGGTATGTGTATTAGGTGAGGAGGAAAAACTGTAGGCTGGATGACACCCCCTCCCCTTGCTATTCCTGGGTTTGTATTTGGGTATAATTATGATATTATCTGGAATTGCAGATCAGTGCACCTTTGGATTCTACCCAGAAGCGTGATAGACGGCAGTTCTCCTCGTGTTGGTGTGCAGTGCTACGGTGGGGCTCAGTCTTCCATGGCAGAGCCGTTTCCTAACTGTTCCGTTTGTGTGCTTGCTGTAGTCTAGGCCTTTGTCCTTCACATAAGCACTGCGAGCAGGTACCTGTGCATTAAAAGTACTAGTTTCGAGGAGTTTGAGTATATTTGTTATATGTAGAATCTGCAGTGAACTTTTTTCATGTTTTTTTCCCCCTTTTCAAGCAAAAATCACGTTTTAAGTCCAGTTGTTGCCATGACAGATCTACTGTGAGAATGATATGACATAGCTACTGTGAGGATAACATAAATGATATAGTTTCTTTGAAAATTTTTATACTCGGGTATTTTATATATTAAGATAAATGTAAATATATATACACATGTGCATGCCATGTCACATAGCTCTACTGCAGAGTTACTGTGAATTTTTTTAAAAATGTAATTGCAACCACAATCATATCTTAAAGAACATTCACTCCTAATAAGGATGTATAAAAGCCACTGAAAGAATGAGGTTGACAAATGAAAACAGCCAAGGTCATTAGCTGGGGTTACTTTGGGTTATTTCAAAATTTAGAGTGTGACTTTGAAAGAACTGGTTTTATTCCTGTGGGCGCTCTGTGTGGTTGAAAAGTCTCGTAATAGTAAACCGTGTAGAGGCTACATCGTAGTTGCTGGCAAGCGGCTTTAAGTGCACTTTCTTTGATTATACTTCCAATTTTTGTTAAACTTGAATTTTCTGAGACTTTTTATGTACCACTAAGCAAATAACTTTAACTTTTAAATAAAACTGATTTACATCTTTATTATATTTCTAATTGTTACAAAACATACTTGCTAAAATGACTTCAATCTTTAAATGTAGCTGGGAAACATTTATGAGGTAGAATCAGTTGCTTTATTTCTCTATTTAATTAAGCACTAACTGATTCTTCCACCTTATTGCCTTTAAATTGCTTTTTCTTATTGACTGAATTCTTTCCCCATTCATTTCATTTTGTCTGAAATTTATTTTCTTACTATATTTATCATGCCTACTGTTGTAGTAATCTGCTTTCTTTAAATGCAATAAATCCCAAATAGATGGCGTGTTCTTTGTAATCAGTGATTTCAGTTTTTCATTATTTGTCTTATTAAGATTTTTCATTTAAACCACAGACAGTGGGATACAGAACTGACTTCAGATGAGATCTTTGTTCTCACATAAGAAAACCCATTGTGCCCTAACATGTTTTGGAGGGAAAACAGCATACTGGTCAGGTGTTGCGGGCCATTTGACTTGGCTTTCTTGGGCTTCGTAGGGTTTGTGTCCATATTGAGCAAGTCTGTAGGCACCATTTTTACAACAATGTGCTCGCTTCATGTCTGTCACGATTAAATAATCCTCACCGCCCTTCACACTGTTCCATGCCACTGCCACTTAAGATTGTAGTATGCAGAAACATAACTTTCAGAAGCACTGACAGCCAAACACATCTTGTGACTCATTTTATTGCCACACTGATGGTAAAGCAAACACTTAAGACACTGTCATTTGGATACGTTGTTTGGGACCATTTTTGTCTAAGGAGCTGTGTAGTGAGGAGGTTAAGCACTCAGCTAAACAAAGGTCAGAGGTTTGACTCTACCAGCTGCTCAGAGGGAGAACTCAGAGGGCAGTTTGCTTCCTTAAAGAGTATGGTCGCTCTGAATTGGAATTAACTCAGTGGAAGTTTTGTTTGCATTATATGTAATTTTATTTTCAAACTCTAAAATTCTGTGAAACAAAATATTTTCACTCTTTATATCAGAAAAGTCTGACACGTCCATCAGGTTGACACAGGCTGGATTTTTTTCATATTAGTGGCTTGTGGAGAAATTCGTTGTATTTGTTGTATACAAATAGACATATATAACTTTTTGAAGTAGTAACAGCTACCTAGTTACATAGAAAAATCTGGGCTCTGTAGCTTTTGATTGGCTAGTACAGTACAGTATCATAAATGATAGATTGTTGATTTTTTAACCTAATTGGAGATGTATAAAACTATGGGATGTATCTTTGGCCAAAGTCAGTTATAGTTCACTTCTGTAGAGATGACATCTATAGAGTTGTCAGTTTGAGCTATTTATTTTGAAATGCCAATTCCTTTAAGGAAGTTCACCTCGAGCATCACAGTAAACATGACGTTAATATGCTTACATTGAGGGCCTGAGCTTTGCAAGCTTGACTGTGCTGTACATTTTAAAAGAGGCGTTTTGCTTTTTAGGGTAGCGGGTGTTCCTGAGACTGTGTATGCAGCTATGCTGGGGTATTGATCCCAGGTGGAACCCCAGTGGTGGTTCATTTATTTCAGTCCTTTCACAAGACCGCCACTGCTGACGGTTACCTTTCTCTCCAGAATATGCTTCATAAATGTAGTTTCAGCTCTGAACTGTGCCCTTGCTACCTGACTTGGGAAGTATAGTACAAAATTTCAGGGGACTCTGGTGCTCAGGAGCATCTATATTGGTATCAACACAATTGATGTGATACTACTTCTGTACCTTCCCTACTGGGCTGATTCATCACTTATGTTGGCAAGAAACATACTTTGACGGGAGAAAGTCCCACGAATGATGCTGTAGAGTGGGTATGGATCTACTCAGCTTGGCACCTGGCAGGATCCAGAAGTTCAGGCTTTGCTCCTTGACAATGTAGGGCCAGATCTATATACATATATCTCTAGGTAGGTACCTGGCAAATGGAGAGGTGTACAGCTCTATGCCAGTCAATCACAATCTTCAAATCGGTTAGTCCAGGTAGGATGCCATAAGATGTGACAGATAATCCCTGAATCTTCATTCCTGATTCTAAAACATGATTTTGAAGCTGTTATAGTTCATAAAGAATGACAAGTAACACTTAATATATTTAGTAAACCAATTTTATTTACATAATACATATTTCAGCATGCAGCTTACTGAATTATACTCAGTGCCATAAGAAAAAAAGAAAAAGAAAAAAAAAAAGAAAAAAAGAAAAACACTGTCTTGCTATTTGAAAATGGTTTTATATAGAAAGATAATTGTGTCTTAAATGACTCAACTAAACAGCCATGAATAGATTTAAAGTATACTTTGGAAATCTGTAAGTAAAAGAGCTTTTATAGTTTACACCTTGGTAAAATCCAAACACTTTTTTTTTTAGTGATGTGGTTGAATAGTGTACTTTAATAACAAATCTATAAAAGCAAAAATATACAAGGCTCAGATTTACAGGCAAATTTAAAATGTATTCTTTAATATTAACAATATCTTAAAATGTTTGCCGGTAGTGCTATGCATACAGTAGGTGGTCAGTAAATGTCGACTCAGACAGGTCTTGAATATAGTTGACAGCAATCCATATCCATTCATTCCCTACTTTACAATAAATATGCAACAGTAAAGAGAAAAGTGAGAAAGCATAGCTTAACAGTATCTAGCATTTTCATAAAATTTTGAAATGTTTACACAGTGTTAATTATCCCTACAGTCAGACTTGTATGCCTTTGAAATTCAAAGAAACATTCTTTAAAGAAAAACAAAAAGCAAACTATGCTTTTTATCGGAAAAGAAATGATCACATTATAAGAAAAAAAAAAGGATTAAAAATAATGAAATGAAGCAACTGAACATATACTTTCATTTTGAGATTTTACAATAAAAAAATGAAAAAGTAGTGGAGGTTCCCCTTAGTTTAAAAATAACTACTCGCTATTTTGTTTGGCCAATATGGCAAAATATCTACTTGAAAGCAATAATCTATTAGTCAATAATAGTTGTTTTCTAGGAACTAATAGCCTGCTAATGCATCAGAATCATCATATGGGTTGAATGAATGGTTTTATGAAGTAAAATAGCCATTTTCAAAGATGTACTCCATGAATGGAACAAGATAAACAAGCTCACTGCCATCGAGTTGTTTCTGATTCACAGGGACCCTCTAGGACAGGGTGGAACTGCCCCTGTAGGTTTCTGAGCCTACCTTTTTTACAGGAGTAGATAGTTTCGTCTTTCTCCCAAGGAGCGGCTAGTGGTTTTGAACTGCCCAAACCTTACGGTTAGCACTAAAGCACAACCACTACAGTACCAACTAGGACTTTATTGAACCTCCTGGGGGAAGGGGCAGAGGGTGACGATTCTCCTTACTGAGGTACTACTGGCATGGGGAATTTATATTCCAAAACACAACGCTGAAAAATATATATCTAAAGTTTTGCAGATGTATAAACTGAGGCACATTAAAGTGAAGACATATGAAAGGCATTTCAGGAATAATCTTCACCCTCCGCCAACACTTCCTGAAATGCAGTCATGTTAATGTTCAGAAGGATACCAGCAATTAACAGTTCGTGTCAGGTCATTTGAGAAACTTGGGAATATTTTATAGTCCAGTGAACAATGTTAAGTTTTTATGGACCTCTTGCTTTCAAGAATTTCAAGAGAATGAGAGCTACTTTGTATGATAGGGCACTGACAGCTTTATTTTTCAATACATACAAGGACCAAATCTCAGAAACCTGGTTCCACATATTAGCTAGTATATACCAATACTTTCTCAGTTACTAATGCAATGTGAATACAAGCATAAACAAAGGATGACTAGCGCCCAAGGGAGTAAGAGTGCTATCAAATGGGTCATCTGCTAGACTTTGTTCTAAGGCTTCAGGCTCGTTTCAGGTCAAGATGGGGCCATCTAGTTTCCATGGCCTTGAAAGTAGCACCTACATACCCATGAGATTTTTTTGGAGTCCACTTGTAAGAATTCAGGGTCGATAAGGTATTAAAAGGCCTAGGTGGCAAATAACTTGCCTATCAGAATTTTTCACTTCATCGTGTAATCTCTTTCTAAGGTGATTCTTCTCAGACAGAAAACGACAACGTAAGCTCCTCTCAATACCTAAGTTAATGTTTCTTTTCTGGCAAATGAAAGAATCCAAAATTCCTAGGGCAGGGAGAAACTACAGCTGAAGAAAATACTATCAAAGTGCCCATTTCTCACAAAGCTCGAGTTGTTGAAAAGCTCGTGATCATTCGAAGCTGAATCCTTGTTTGTAGGGATCCTTGCTATGAGCAGGCACTTGATCATCTACTGAGAAATCATTCCATTAAAGTAGTCTCACAGGGTGACTTCATTTCCTGCTGGAGATGAGTCTTTCCTAAGGGACTTAGGTTGGGATTAAGCAACATGCGCCCTAGTTCTACATTGGGTTAGCATCCATTCTGGTTATTAGACGTTTCTTATGAACGCCGATCAATTTTAATGTACAAGCAGCAAATGAGTAGTTCTCAGGGCCTGTAGAATGGTTATTACAGACCCCCTCAAGTACTTCCCCCCCACTTTTATAAAGTATTATTCATGATACATTAAGTGAGGAAGAAGGGAAAAAATGAACAGGAATCTTAGAAATAGTGGGGTATACAACTCCCTGTTAAGATATTGCTTCACAATTGAATACGACAGGTGGCCATACCTGAATTCACAAATGTGAAACATAGTCAGGACAAGGCTTGGCATGTCTGTACTGCATGACATACACGGTGGACTGGTGCCACCAATATAACATCACTACTGCAAGGACGTGCCATATTTGGTGGCTTGATCCGAGGTAGTTGAGTTGTCCTGGGAGAGAGAGAGCAGAAAGAAAAGGATTTTGATTGTTAAGTTTGATATTATGGGGACAAAAATCAACTATCTCTGGCCTTGGAAGTATGAGTTAGCAGTACATAGATTGTGGTGGGAAACATTTTTTCTTAAAAGTATATGTATTTTTTAATCTGAATTCACATTTGAGTCTAATTTCAAATTCTCACTTGGTTAAGTTCAGGATTTGACTTTTTAGTCTCCCACATCTCAGCGATATTCTGGCGGGAGAAGAAGACATTGTGTGACTGCTGAGACAGGCAAGGTATCTGGACTGTCAGTCACAGAGGGGCCTTCACACTGGTGATGTGTTTGCTCTGAGTTTGTGGGAGTACCTTTTATTTCAAGCAGTCTGTGAGGAGAAAGCTCAAATTACGGTGCCTGATTAATAGAACAGTCTGCAAAAAAGTAATTAGTATGATCAAAGATGATGTGTTAAATACAACTTAAGCAAACAACTGTGGTTAAGGGTTCAATTCCAAGGAGATTTAATGATCCCACATGGGTACCTTCTTGAGCTCTGTCAGTAAATAAAATACAGGGGGAGGGATGAAGATGTCAAGGTAAACCATGGCCCCTTATTCGTGGTGCATCTATGTTCGAGGGGTATCAATATGCAGGAGCTTCAAAAAGTTGGAATTTAAAAATGATAGCATTTTCCCAGGAACTTTCTGAAGCCCCTCAACCTTTCTCTTCTTTTCCTGCCTAGAAGAGGGATCAGTACAGTGCTGACATATGAGAGTCAAAGACCAGGGTTCTTTCTGTAGGAGCTTTCCAATTTTTTCGTGGTGACAGGGCCCCCCTCCCCTCAACAATCCAGTGAAGCCCACAGACCCCTTTAAAACAAAGCACAATACCCAGGATTACGAAAGCCAACCACCACCACCAACAAACCCTGCTTTCTGTTGTAATACAGGGATCGCAGACCATCGGCACATCTTAGGAGGCAACGGACCCATCAGATGCTGCTGTAATCCAGATGTGAAAAATCTGAGTTGTATCGCAAGTCTTTATGTTCAAATTTATTCCACAGTGCGCACTGTCCACACCTGTCTACCCTCTCAGCACAGCTTCCAGCCAGGCTGGACATGACGACTGGACAGAGGGCTGTCAACCACTCACCCATGAACAGCTTGAGGCCGCGTCATTTTTAATCTGTACAGACACCCCTTTTTCTGAGGTGTCCATATCAGCATTGCTCTAACAGGGTTGCTCTCTGTCGGCACTGACTCCGTGGGAGGGAGTTTGGTTTTGGTAAGGTGCCTGCACACACTCATGTGATCATCATCTGACCTTTTATACTTTTCTGATAGCAGAAAACTGGGAAGTGGTGAACGTAGAAACTTTAATGCTTTAATTTTCTTTATGTCAATTTGATGTTTAATCTATTATTTACTACTAAGGGGGTAGAAATGCATTTTACCAGAATAATTTTCTTAGGAAAATTCTGACCCTGCTTAAAGCAGTTCGGCTCTTCAGTGCAGACACAGTACCCCAGACGTGTTTCTGAATCTGAATGCCAATGTCCACGTTCTGGTTTTATTACATTCTTATTTACAAATCCGCAGTAGGAAATTAACTCCATAGATAAATGCCCAGGACTTGTGGTCAATCCATTCTCCACATCAGTGGGTTCTCATCCTTTCTTCTGCCAACACACCAGAGTATTGGCACAATCCCATTTTCAATCCACTAGGGAAGTGGTTCTTATCCCATAAGTTTGCAATCTGAATTTACATGATCTCTATCCTTCTTCCCAGTTGAAAAATCACAGCTTTTTGGATTCTACATGTTATTCTTGACTCAAGCCAAAGATAACCTGGATTTGCACTATTCTGTCCTCCTACAGATGTGTCTTTACTCAGCCACATCCTTCATTTAGAGCATTCTGACTAAGGGTCAGCACCACCACCATCATCATCATCACACTTTTTACTGAGCACCGATTACGTGCTAGGAATTAAGCAAGATGTTTTCTGTGCATTTTTTCATCTCATGCCCGCAACAGCCCATGAGAGCAAGTATGGTTTCCATGTTTGCAATGAGGAAAACGGCAACGGAGGCCCTTAGGAGGTCTGCATTGCAAAGTGGCCCTAAACCTGGCTTCTTTTCATTTTCCTTTGTCATATTTCTTCCTTTCTTGTTTTATGGATATTTGTACCTTTAATTTTTTTGTTAGCAATCAGCTGGTATCTAAAGAAGTCAGTGATAATCGGTGACAAGTGCAACACACTTTTTAAGGAAAGTGGCTGGGTGTTGGGTGGGGGTCAGAAGACTCTTCCCAGAGTTTAACCTTCACTCCGTTAGCACTTCGTACCTGCTGGTTTCATCTCATCCTTGGGATGGAAGGAAAACACTGCCCTTCAAAACTTAAAGTTCTAGATAAAGAGTTTGGGGATAGCAAAACCATTCTAAAATCAATAACCGTGGGGGTGAAATTCAGCTTTGAATGTGTGAATTGTGTAGCTCAAGCATGTATTTAGAATGCAGCTAAAAGACCACTATGGAGGCGGCACCTACCTGGAAAGTACCTTTCCGGAACTTTGGAAATGTAGAATAGAAAAGCAAGAAGGGCAATCACATACATCACAATTACACGGGGTGCAAAGTCCTGAAAGGCAAAACATCCTTTTACAGATCTTCCAATTGAATAGAAATCTAGTGGTGGAGTTTTTACGTGTTCAGTCTTTACTGCCTTTGTTGGTCATCTCCAATATTGAAAACCCTGCCCTCAGTACTCTAGGAACCAGCCCACAATAATGGAGCACAGAGTGTCCCAATAGATGTAGAGCATTAACACATCTACAACATAGGTATACATGGTGGAAGGCACGTGGGGAAGGAGGTCCCAGCTGAATGTTCAGAGTAAAGGCCAGGGACCTGGGGCTGGAAAGATCCATTGGGGTTATGTCTAATACAAACACCTCTTCCAACATCCTGGAGAAATGATCCTCCTGAATGCTACACACAAAAGTAGTCCCCTTCACAGCTCAAGTTCTCATGGACAGTTTTTCTTTGCTCAAAAATTAGCCAGCTGGAACTGATGTAATCATTCCTAACTCTGTTTCTAAACCTAATATATCGTGAACCCATCAAAGAAATATAGACACATTACTCCTCTTCCCTCTTCAACTAAGAGAATTATAATGGCCCCACGTACATCCTGTATTCTCCAGACTAATCTACCTCAGCTTTCTCAGACTCTCTTGAACTAGAATATGACCTTATCCAAACTTTTCATTTTTTGGTTAACTGCTTTTCTCTCTCTAAGTCAGAGCTTATCAGCAAACTTCTATGGGAGGGCACCTTTGATTCCTCAGTGGAATGATCTGTGATGATAGAATTTCATCCTTGAAGACCACAGTCTGTGTACTACGCCTATTTAAACTTCAAGATTCCTGAATATAGAAATGTGTCCCCTGTCCCCACCCCACCCACTGCTTCCAATTTGAACTAGGAAAAAACTTGCCGGCCTAATGGGTGGTTTCTGGTTGGTCATTGTAAACTCAAAAGGGATGTTTTCACCTTATGCCACTATTGGTCTCTCTTATGTCAACAACCAGGTAATCATTTCTAATTAGAATTCAATGGAGTGGTAATTCCCAGTTTCTTTACCTATTTCTAGGGAATCAAAATTGTCAGAAAAATGAACTTTTCACAGCGAACAGGACCACTGAGCACCTTCTCACTGCAGGACACTCCTCTCTCCAGCTGGTGTCCTCCGTTTCTGAAGACAGCACCCCTGCCTCAGTGTGGCAGCGTCCGATCACATTGATCAAACCGCTGCACCACAGAACTTGATCTGCTCTTTCCTTTTACGGTCAATGCTTCCACCCTTCTGTGGCCGGCTTCTCACAAGGGTATGTAAGCCTACTGGTAGTCTGATCCTTTGGACAAACCTATCTTTCATTCTTATATTCCAGAAAAAGCTGCCACATTTTCAGGCATACGATGTTAAAAAGTGCCGCACTGTGCTGTCACCACATTTAAAGCAGCTTTGTACGGCTCTCCAAGAACTCACGTCCCATTTCTCATTTGCTTGGTAACAAACACTGAGGCAGTCTCACTGAAATCTCTAATGAACGCCAAGTCTTCCCCCCTAGGACCTGATTCTAACATTTATTCTTTTAATTCTCAATATACTTTCCTTGGTAGGTCAAATATGCTTCTGTGACCCCCGCTACCCATATAGTGCAGGTTTCTAAATCTTTATTCATCTTAAACTGTGACCTAAATTCCAGACCCGATCCTTGTCTCTCTAGGAGTCCAGGTGGCATCTTGGGTGAGGGGTTGGGCTGCTAACTGGAGTCAGCAGTTTGAAACCTACTTTCATAGAGATTTAGTCTCTGAAACCCACAGGGCCAATTCTACTTTGTCCTATCAGGTTGCCATGATTAAAAACAAGACATCAATGGGGTAAAACAAAATAAGACAAAAACAGTAGTTGGGCGTTACTATTTTTTCAAGCCAGAGCTGTAAAAATCATGGCATTAATATGCAATTATTAGAAACATGCTCTCAAATTACCCATCCATGGGTGGCCTAAGTACACTACTTTACCCAAAAGAAAAAATGTTGCAAGGATGAAGAAAGTGGTAATATTGGCTACACTCAACTCACCTGTACAATAGGAGCACCGATTCCTCCATTGAGCCAAACCCAGTGAAGAGTAGGGATCACTCCATATCCCGAAACAGAACAGAAGATGGCAGAGCGGAGTCGCTGCCACTGCTGCGTAAGGTAATTGGGGTGAATCTGAGCAAAGAACACCGCCAGGATCATAGCAAGCACTGTGATCAAGTACACTTGGCGCCAGTACTAGAATGAGAAGAGACAGTTTCCTTGTTATCTATGGAGGGAAAGTGGTCGTGATTTTGACTTTCACATTCTACATTCTACACCACCTACGTGGTATTTTCATTTCTCAGCATGATTACCGTTCTGCCTGTAAAAATGCAGGTGCCACAGCCATGTTAGATTTCCTAGGATGGCGAACCAGGGTCCGCACTGAGCTGATAAAAGACCACCTCCAACGACAGGAAAGCATTTCCTGAGTGGCTAATTATGTGCTCGGCACAGTGTGAATTGTGTAGAAACAAAGGTGACTATCAGGTGGCCCCTCCCGGTGGGTGATCTCACAAGACTGGGATCTAATGCTCAGTACTGTAACTGAGTTATGAAGGCTGGATAAACAGGAGAAAAGAATGAGCGTATCTGAGTAGCTAAAACTGCTTCAGAAAGGAGGAGACAGCTAAGCTGGGTGTTGAGGAATATGTAAGACTTTGTGGGACAGGCAGCTGGGAAGTTTTGAGAAGGGAAGCCAAAAAGCAGGCCAAGTGGCAGGTTGAGGATTTAGAACTCAAACTCACTGCCATTGAGTCGATGCCGACTCACAGGGACCCCATAGGACAGAGCAGACTGCCTTCTGGTTTCTGAGACGGTAACTCCGTTTGGGAGTAGAGCCTCATCTTTTGCCATGATTTCGAACTGCTGCTCTTATGGCTAGCAGCCGACAGTACTGACCTCCACCACCAGGGCTCCTTCAAGTTCTTTGAGTGGTGGGATGTTGTGTGTCATCAAGCTGATTCTGACTTGCAGTGACCCTGTGTGACAGTGCAGAACTGCCCCGTGGGGCTTTCCTGACTGTCATGAAGGGTTTTGAACACCATCTTTTGGTTAGCAGCCAGGTACTCCTGACAGTCATTTTTCAAGTTGACTTATTAGAGAGTAAACTCTATCAGTAGGGAGTAGAAAGTGGTAACAGGAAGACAGCTAGAAGCTATTATAATCATATATTCAAAGAGAATGAGGCCTTGGGCACTTGTTGAGCAAGGAAGAGACATGAAGTATACTTCAGGAAGTACACAAAATTCACTTACGGCACTGAAAGTGTTAACAGCTGACTGCATGCATAAGAGAATACTGGAGGCGGCCTGGTGGTTTGTAGCCTGAAAGGCCTGGTAAATGGGTTTTATCAATGAGTGACTGAGCAAAGATGATCCAGATTAGGTGTCTGTGTGCAGCATGTGGGTAGGAGTTACAGGGGATATGAGAATGTTCATTTTTAAATATACTTAGTTTGGAGGACTTATGAGATAATTTATGTATCTAAAGGAGCAGGTAGAGCTGGTCTTGAAGCTCAAAAGTTAATATCCCATATGACTGGAGTTCTTCCACTGGCTCCTGGGATATTGGGGGACCACTCACTCCCTAATTGTTTTGTGTGCTCAAAGATGCATTCTCCTGGATGGAGTATCCATTGCTTTCACTCTGATTCTGAAAGCAGCCTGTGGACCTTGAGAGATAAAGAGTTACTATCATAATTGAATCAAATCTCAATTTGGTTATGACTTAGACAGAGGAAAAGAAATATTTTTTCCTTTATGGGAACATGGATTATATTAGCTCTATTCACTGTCTGCGAGATGATCCTGACTCACAGCAACCCAATAGGACAGGGTAGAACTACCCCTGTGGGTTTCTGAGACTAACTCTTTACAGGAGGAGAAAGCTTTGTCTTTCGCCCATGGAAGTGATTTCAAACTGCTGGCCTTGCAGATCATTGCCCAACGTATCACCATTACACCACCAGGGCTCCTTCAATGATCTTGGGGACAGTTTCTCAAGGTTAGAAAACTCTACATGTCCCATTCATCTCTGATGATCAGATTTGATGTTTAACAATAGACAACAGAAAACAAGCTTCGAGAAAGAAAGAAGACTATAAAGTAATTCAAATATTACATGATTGCGGTCATTGTCCTGTACTTATTTCCTTTACTTTTTAAAAACACGTGAATAATTATCATGAAAATGACCAAGTTATGAAAGCTAAGCAGACACGAATAGCTTTCTCCTAAAATCAACCCCCAGGTTAATGGCATCTGTACATCTAATTATCTTATATTTAATTAGGTCAAAGTAAGCAGGCCTATAAAAGGAAATAATTTACATGTACATGTGGCTATTACTAATATATGGGGGGTACCCCCAAAATTGCACTGGGTGGAGCAGAGTTCTCAGTTGTATGCATTATGCATCATGCCCACCCACCCCACCCCCGGCAAAGTGATGATCGAGCAACTTGCTCTGAGTTAGCAGTGGCATCACCTGGGAAGGTTCTCTCTAGTCACAGTGAATTTTTTTTCGAAAAAGTGGTTTTACTCAATGGCCTTGTTTTTTGTGATGGCTGATTTAAGAGAACAGTGTGCAGCTGTGAAATTTTGTTTCCTGCTTGGGAAAAATGCTGCAGAAAATGTTGTGATGCCAAACACAGCCTACAAGGGCAGCACTATGAGAAAAACTCAAATGCATGAGTGGTTTTCTCGTTTCAAAAAAGGTGATGTGTTGATTGATGAGAAACCTCTTTCTGGATGTCCAGCAACTTCCCAAATGGACAAAAATGTTGACAATATTCATGCACTTGTGCTCGAAGACCAACGATGATGGACCACTGAAGAGATGGGGAAGTTATCTGGACTATCTTGGAGCTCGGTTCAGTGACTTTAACAGAAGATTTGGAAATGAGAAGGGTCACTGTGAAATTTGTGCCTCAGGTTCTGACTGACCAGGAAAAAGAGCTTCGACTGGAAACATTCTGTTTTGAAAGAACAGCTCCGAAGTGATCAAGACTTTTTACTGGTAAGGAGACATGGTGCTATTCTTATCACCCCGAAAGCAAACATCAATCAAGCTAGTGGAAGACACCATCATCGCTTCGCCCCAAAAAGCTAATCAAGTGAAATTAAAAAATTAAGACAATGCTCATTTGTTTTTTGGTTGTGAGGAGGATAGTGCATTTGGAGTTTGTTCCATAGATCAGACTGTTAATCACGCTTTCTATTTAGAGGCTCTGAAAAGATTGTGTAACAGTGTGTAAAAAAGGCCTGATTTGTTGTGCTTGGTATAATTGATGTATGGATTGTTATAAGAACTGTGCATTTCAATCAATAAAATGATTGAAAAAAAAAACCAAAGGCCTGATTTGGGCAAATGGGGGACTGGTTTTGCCACCATGACAATGCACCTGCTCACGCAGCCATGTTAGTACACCAGGATTTGGCAAACAGAAAAAAAACCAAAAACCAGCATTTCTCTCTTGCCCCACGGGTACCTTACTCACCTGACCTTGCTCCATGTGACTGTTTTGTTTCCACATATGAAGAGGGACATGAAAGGACAGAGATTTGACAATGTAAATGAGGTGAAGAAAAAAATGAGGGAGTTGCTGTCAGTCATCCAAACAGATGAGTTTGAAAAATGCTTCCAAGAATGGAATTGCAGATTTGACAAATGCTTTAAGTGTAATGGAGAGTACCCTGAAGGTGATAAGCTTATTTTGTAAAAAAAATTTACATAGGCTTTGGGTGGGGGGAATTCTGTTTTTTTTGGGGGGGGTGCTCCCTCATACAATGCTTTCACACATTCAAACCAGATTAAGATTTTCCCCTCTGTTGGCTTTACACAACATTTTCAACATTATTGTGTGGAGACAAAGGTCTGGTCTGTGAATTCCCAGGCCAGAGGAGCGCTGTGCTGCAGCCCCTCCTGCTGTCAGGGAAAGGTTGGGGAGTGTGGCTTCTGCTGCCTGCAACAGGGGTGAGCCTGAGGGGCGCTCGGCAGCACAGGTGCTGGTCCTCAGGACCAGAGCAGGCATAACTAAGTGAGCTGTTCCTGAGGGAGAAGCATCATGCTTTCCTAGTGCGTAGGGCTGGATTAAGCTTCCCTTGAAAGGGAAAACACTGAAGGACCAGAAGAACCGTGTAGCAGGAGAGCAGAGTTGGTGGGGACTTCTGACTAGGGAAATGGGAGGTGGCCTGGGCCCAGGGAAGATTGCCTGTCTTCTTACCAGGCATGATAAGGTGATGGGCAGAGAGCCAAACTCTACAATGGTTCCAATGCAGATTTCCACAATGCTAAAATGGACTTTTGTGAACTTAGGGCTCAACATGGTTAGAAAGCATAGTTGATCTAAAACCGAAGACATGTCTTAACACTCACTCAAGATACTCACCCCCCCACCCCCCCCCTGCTTTGGACTCCCTCTAGACCTACCCACCAGAACGGAAGAGGAAGAAAGGAGCACAGACGTACACTCATCCGCTCACTTACCTTTTTCACTGAGAGAAGAGTAGAGGGTAAGAAGGGAAGATGGAGGGCTGGCGCGAGCTGCATAATCTTAACAAGTGCTAGTTTGTTTAACTACAATTCTATAAACACAAAAATAACCGGTATGTAATGTACTGTGTTTATCTGAGGAACCACGTAGCCCTTCGGATTAAGTGGGCAGCTTCACAGTTTACTGTCCACATTAAGTTCTCTGAGAACAACTTTTTGTATTGCCTTTTCACAACGGAACATTGGCAAAATCGGTGTGAAATTGAAGAGATCACAGGGCCCTTTGAAAAACAAGTGAGCTTGTACCTGAATAAGACTTGTTTCCCCTCTAAGTTACTCAGATACTGACTTAATATACATAGGAACCTTGGGTCACAAACCCTTGGGCTCTACATGAAAGGCAGAATGTAAAAGGCTTTTAAGCTACTTACATTGTTACAATAGAAAGCATAAAACACTCCAGAGACATAGCAGCCTAGTATTCCGATAGAAATCCCTGCATAATCCAACGCCATCCATCTTCGGCAGGTTTTTTCTGACCGATGGCAGGAGAAGAGATGATAGCCTACAGAGCAAAGCATACAGACCTGTGGAAAAGCACACTGATCTTAGCAGGATGAAGACAAGACATCCAAGCAACTCACACAGTCTACTCTGTGAAGTCGTGAGGACCCGGGCTTGCCAGTCATGCAGACCTGGCCTTGGGTCCGAGTGCCGACCCTTACTAGGCTGGCTGGGCAGGCCCTTTGATTCCTCGGGATAAGATGGGCATATAAATCACAGACGATGTTAAGAATGTCAGCTGAAGCTTATTTTGCCTTGTGAAGGGTTTTTTTTTGAAGTATGTCATTATAAAGAGAATACATGAGTTGTATGATGTAAGCGATAAGTCCCTCCCACTCAATCAATGACCCTACAGGAAGCTACTGTTAACATTAAATACTGTCCTCTAGATGGTTTCAATGTATATGCAAATATCTATGAATCCATGTCTATATGCATGTACGCACGCAATCCAGAGACGTTTGCTATACAAACAGAATCGCCCTAAACACTCTGTCCCACAAGTAGGCACACCTGACTTTTCATGTCTATATGATACTTAATTACATAGAGTTTACTTCTAAGTTTAACATGCTTTTGTTACCCTCCCCTAGCCTCACCCCCCAAGAAAACACAACTCAAGACTTAGGCTGACTTGTTATGACTGCCGATCTGGGAGCAAAATTAATCTCAGCTGAGCAGTGGCGGCACTGGATCCATCTAAACACTGGTTCTACCGGGGGCAGCTTTCCTAGAAACTTGTGGGACAGCTCCAGTTTACTACTTGGGAAGATGTCCATTGAGTTCTTAAACAACTTATATCACCTCTGTCTCTCTCATGGCACACAGTGCTTTGCTGCTGTTGAAGGCACACTAATGAGACAATGAAAAGTGAGCCACTGCTCTGCAGCCACCCTTGATCACAGAGACGTGTTTAAACACTTTTTGTCTGGAACAGATTCGTGCTCGTATGAACTGGAAGCTGAGTAGGAACCCCTTTGACTAACTCAGTACATTCTCAATGTCAGGGAAAGACAGCTCTGTCATGATGTTGAACGGTACAAGAGCAAGTCACAAAACCGCAAGGAGACGCAGTCCTCGCTTGGCAGCAGATAAACAGACAGGTAAAACAGGTGGGCAGGCAGCCATACACACACAAAGGTCTACAGGAATCTTAACCTGAACATCAACAGTGGTGACTTCTGGCAAGTGAAATGTCCAGTAATGCTTTTGCTTTTTTCTTTGCTTGGGTTTTTAGTGAGTGTGTCTCACAGTAATACTGAACAACAATAAAATTAGCATCATCATGAAAAGGAAAATAACCAGAGGAAAATGATGGTATGAAAGGAAAAATGAAGGCATCCGTGTCAATAAAAAAACACGAAAAGAACCTTGAGTTTTAAAAAAGAACCCTGTACACAGATGCCTTGTTTTAAAGGGGACATGTTCGAGTTCCTTAAAATTGATGGGATAGTCAGGGTGCGATGCAACAATGATGAGAAATACAACCTTCCTCTAGTTCCTAAATGTTTCCTCCCCGCTCCCACTACCATGACTCGAATTCTATCTTGCAAGACTGGCTAGACCAGAGGAGGTACACTGGTACAGATAGGAACTGAAAATCCAGGGAATCCAGGACGGATGAGCCCTATAGGACCAGTGGTGTGAGTGGCAAAACAGGGAGGGTAAAGGGAGAATGGGTAGGAAAGAGGGAACCGATTGCATGGAACTGTGTGTGACCTCCTCCCTGGGGAACAGACAACCAAAAAGTGGGTGAAGGGAGACGTCGGACAGGGCAAGATATGACAAAATACCCATTTATAAACTATCAAGGGCTCATGCGGGAGGGGGGAGCAGGGAGGGAGGGGAAAAATGAGGACCTAATGTCGGGGGTTTAAATGGAGAGAAAATGTTTTGAGAAACGATGTACAAATGCGCTTTACACAATTGATGTGTGTATGGATTGGGATAACAGTTGTATGAGCCCCTAATAAAATGTTTTAAAAAAAAATTGATGGGATAAAAGAAGTGTTAACCAGAACGTTTACATATGTGGAGTACCTTACTCCACTAGGGTCGATGGGGAACCACAGTATCACTGCCAGCGTACATCTAAGGTCCTTGACAGTCCAGCAAAACAGCCGCTGATCTGGCACCTGCCTATCTCTCCAGTCTCACCACTTCCACTCTCCCACGATCCCAGTATAGAGATGAAACCCTGGCATTCAGAAAGTGCTAAGCTGCTTCCGAGTCTTAAACTATCCTTTTCTGCTTACATGTCCTGGCTCACTCCTCCCTGCCTCGGTGACTTGATCTTTAGGACATGTTGGTTTTGTTCAGCACCTTATCCTTGGTTGCCTAGCGTAGTGCTGGATATATACATGTCCCCACTTCCGAAATCCCAAACTTACTGCCATACAGTCAATTCCAAACTGAAGGAAAATGAACTCAATCAGTGTACTCTTCTTCTCCCAGTCTCTGACCTCTTGCACCCATCCAGGTACCATGGAAAAGTTTAAAGCCCCTCAAACGGCGTTCCATGGTCCAAACTGTGCTCTCTCGATCCTGCTGTAATGAAAGCACTGACCACATGGAGTCCCGACTTCCGACGGGCTCTGTTTCAATGACTCCATCCTAAGTCTGTTCTCACTGAAGTCAAATAATCAATATATCTATTTTTAATTTTAGTTTTTGTTGTCTTTTATTATCAGCATCTTTATACATCCAGTTTTGGACAGTAAGTTTATAAAAAAAAACCTGCACTTTTGTAAGTGAATATCTGAGTATGTGAGAATAGCATTATCAGCAAGTTACACAGAGGATCATATTACTAATGGTAAGATAAATAAAAGATGGTCTCAAATGTAGTTTGTCATAACTAGAATATATGAGTTGTAAGAACACCCAATAAAATGATCTTTTACTTTAAAAAAGACCACTTTATTTCTTTTTATGAAACTACATTTATAAATTTTTTTCCCTCAAATTACTAAGAATTTGCTGACCAGAGGACAGCAGAATAAAGCTTAACTAGACATTAATATTGATTTCCATCTAATTAAAAGAAATTTCCCCCCTCTACTTGTTTTATAAGGTATAGACTCACAACATATTCTAGTTAATGACAAACCACATTCCAACACACTGCTGTGGAGGAGACAAGAAGTGGTCTTTTTAGGTAGAACTGTGTTTGTCCTTAGCAAGTTGGTACAGTATGAAAGGACATTGCATCCACAGTCATAGCAGGGCTTTATTGTCCTGCTGAACAATTACAGGCAAGTCTCTATGACACTCTGGGTCCATTTCTTCATTTGAATTTGCATTTCCTCTTTTCAGGTTTTAAACAGCAGTGCTTCCTTGGACAAGTACGGGCTAGAGCGGTGTTCCTTAAATAAACATCAGGGCTGGCCAAGTAGTGAAGGGATCCGCAAACTCCTTGCCACCATGTCAATTCTGATCCATAACAACCCTATAGGGCAGAGTTGGATAGTCCCCATGGGCTTCTGAGACTGTACGTCTTTATGGAAGCAGAAAGCCTCATCTTTCTCATGAGGGAGTACCTGGTGGATTTGAACTGCTGACCGTGAGGCTAGCAGCCCAACTTATAATTCACCAGGGGCATAAAAACAGAGGAAAACACAGGCTTCTCAGAGTAGAAAATGTCCGTAAGACAAATGGTATAAACTATTTTTTCCCAAATTATTAATGAGTTTTATTTACAGCATCTTATTCTGGCTAAAATTTAACTATTAAAAATGGATTCATTTCCATTATAAAACTGGAGATGGAATCTAAGAGGTGTCTTGGGTCTAATTAGAATAAAAATTAAACCTGAGAAAAACCATATCATTTTGTTTGCCTCAGAGAAACTGAAAATATGATGCCAGAAATGGAAATTAAAGGAAAGGGGGCCGGGCAATATTTTTGCCTGGTTTCCGGGTCACTTTAAGTCCAAGATTTTTATGTAAGGACTAAAGTGAAGAAAGAGGTGAAGTGTGTTAAGCTGTGACGGAGTCGGGAATGAGCTGGTACATAATGCAAACAGCTGCGTAGCTCACTTACAGGCTCACCTCACCCGCCCTCGGAGTAGCAATGGCTAACGCTGGGTCTGCAGGTCTGCGTTTGAAGGAAGGAAAAAATACCCTTTTCATTTTTAGGTTTTTCTGTCCTCTGAATTTTAACCTTTTATTCAAACATGTTAACTCTTAAGATGTCAACAAGACGAGGGCCCACATTTGTTTTCTTATCATGATCTATTTGAAAATCTATCAACTGTCATTTTGAAAGACACTTTTACAGATTATGTTTTGAAGGCATTTAGTAATGAAAGTACTAAGGAACTAGCATTCAGGGGCCGAGGAGAGGGAAACTGCAACTGCTTGAAAGCAGGACACTATTAAATGAACACAGGAAAAGTGAAAGTAATTTTAAAGGAATAGAACAGAAGTCATTTAAAATAGTGATAAAACACCCCCCAAAATAAATTAATTAAATTAAAATGGTGATTCTAAAGTAATATGCAAAATTAAGGCACATAAATAGGAAAAAGACGAGAAATCTTTCCAAGCTAGTTTTAAATAGACACCAGTGTCCTACTTCAGCCAAAGAGAGTATAATGTACTCTCATCATATCACACTTTATGCTTACATGCTGAAAGGGAATGGACTAGCTGATTTAGTTGCTATTTTGGAAATTCTTTACAGTAAAAGTTGTGTTTGAAGTGTGGTCATGTGCTCAAGTTTGCTTGACTAAAGTTCTCTTGGCCAAAAACAATGTGAGATGACTTACCTGGAAACAGAAGAGACAAATAGAACAGATGACGAAATCTTCTCTGGATGCACTCGCCGAAGGTAACACGGATGTCATGTCATATATTCCCAGCGTGAAGAAGAGGAAGAAGCCCAACAAGTGGCTCCAGATGTTTACCGTCTCATTCGATAAAATAAACAAACTGGAAAATAAACACAGTTCAGATTCATATTGGACCACTCACTGTCAGCATTAGAAAGTTAGGGACAGTCTTTTTACTCATCTAATATTTGCTATTTTAAGTCCTTTAAATCCGGACCATGCCGTTCTAAACTTGACCCTACACATAATTTCACTGATTTTCATTTTTTCTACAGATTTTAGAATTTTGGGGGTGCTCATACCTGCTGTCATAATTATGATTTGCTTCCTCACATTAGGGTCATTTACATAAAAATCCCATCTCCCCCTCAAGCCTCCTAAGTCCGTGGCCGTTCAACTTCCTGACACCACTGCTACAAGACAGTGCCTTGCTCTGAAAAGAGGTTGTGTGTCCACAGAAGTGAATGTGTAGATTAGAACTAGATGTTGGCTCGTACCCTTTCACCTTCTATAATGGGTATCTGAAATGTGCTCATGCAAGGTTAGGCACAAACTGAAACTACTTCTCACGGTAGTTAGTGGCCATCAAGTCGATTCCAGCTCATAGTGACCGCTGTGTGCGGAGTAGAACGCTCCATGAAGTTCCCAAGGCTGGCCCTTTAGGAAGGCGAGGGCCAGGCCGTTCTCCAGGGGTGCCTCTAACAAATGAAAGACCCAGACCCACTGACACTGAGTCGATTCTGGCTCACAGAAGCCTAAGGTTTCGGAGGCTATAGGTATTTACAGGACCAGAGAACCTCATCTTTCTCCTGCCTAGTGACTGGTGAGGTTGACATTTTAATCTGTTCGGGAAGTTGATGGATGTCCACAGGAGGTTTGTCACCAATCAACAGTTCATCTTTTTTGAAACAAGAAAACCACTCGTACACTTGAGTTTTTCCCATAGCTGTCCTTGTAAGCTGTGCTCAACGGCACAACAGTTTCTTGGACATTTTTCCCAAGCAGGAAGCAAAATTTCACAGTCACATGCTGTTCTCTTAAATCGAACATTACAAAACACAAGGTTCAAGCAAAAGTGCTTTTAAGAAAAAATTCACTGTGACCAGAGAGAACCTTCCCAGGTGATGTCACTGGGTGCACTAACTCTGAGTGAGTTGCTGGATGCCCTCCTAGCAGGAAAAATGCATACTATGAAAGCTACACTCTGCCAGCACGACTGTTTATTAGGGCTACTCCCTCGTAACTCTACCTACTGAATTTGCAGCAGTCACCAAGGCGCTATTATTTTCTCACTGTTAGAAGTTGTCCTTCTGCCAGGGCCTCAAACTATCAAGTGATTGACCATCAGGCGGAATAAAGTGAATTTGTGCCCTGCAATTTTGGCTTTATTTCAAGCATCAAGCACATAAGACCTACTTATAAGGAGATGAAGAGAGACCTGCGGCAGGCAAGAATGTGCCAGAAAACATCTAACTGTGGAACTTTTTTTTTTTTGACAATGTATATTATAGTTTGTCTATCAACTAGAACTTTTCATGTTGTGAAACTTGGGGAGCCCTTGTGGTGTAGTGGTTATGTGCGGGGCTGGAACTCGCAAGGTTAGGAGTTCGAAAGTAGCAGCAGATCCATTCGGTGGGAGAAAGACAAGGCTTTCTACTCCTGTAAAGCCTCAGCAACTCAAAGGGGCAGTTCTACCTATAAGGCTCGCTCTGAGTTGGCAGCTAGTCCTAGACAGTGAGAGGATGAGTATAACCTGATTAATTGAATGGAGAGGCACAATCTTTACATATTCCTTCTAAGCAACTCTGGTATCAGCAGAAGAGTTTGCCTTCTATAAAACCTCCCACTTAGGTTCTGCGCTGCTTGGTCAACTCCTGGTCGCTCAAGGGAGAAAGGGCACAGACGAGGTGGAAAAGAGCAAGCTGGTGGGACAAACGCTTGGGAGACTATCTCCCATAGGAGAGCTACTCTGCTTCTAGGAGAAGCTAGGCCTGTTCTCTGTTCAGTTGCAAAATCAATCATTATCTTCCTCACTGTCCTTTGTTTAGTTTTAAAATCATTGAGATAGTGGCCATTTATCACATGCTTACGAGCCCTGGTGGCACTGTGTAAGCATTGGATCCGATAGCACTGTGTAAGCATTGGATCCACCAGCAGTTCTGTAGAACGGTAAAGCCACTTGCTTCCCTGACAGATGAATTACAGCCTTGTAAATCCCACACGGGGTCGCGTTGGGTAGGAATCTTCTCCACAGCAGTGGGTTGGATTGTGGGTTGGCATCAGGCCATATGTCGCATTTTGCATACATAACCCCACTTAACCCTTTCTTACTCTCCAAAGCAGATTGTGATTGTCCTTATTTTACAATGGGGTGTGCCGGGGGGTGGGGGGAGATGGGAGAAACTTCAGAGAAGTTAACTTCTCCTTAAGGTCTCAGAGCTAGTAATAAAGTGGCAGTTCTGGATACCGAAGTCTTTTTTTTTTGACTCATTAACTCACACCCTAAAGTGCTAGGTGGCATCTCCTATGAGATCAGGGCCCTCCCCGTAGAGCACAGAGGACCACTGCCATATGGACTTCACTGCTCCCACCTCCTTGTGGTGCTCCAGGTCCTGCACCGGTTCCTGAAGCCGAGGAGGCATTTCGCGTGAAGTAGAAATTGGGATTCAAATTGTCAAGTGCTGGGAGTCATCTACTCAAGTTAAAGAAGGGTGGGCAGTGCCATCGCCTTGCAACCGTAAGTCGAGGCAGGATTGCAGGAGTGGAGGAAAGGCCATCCTCCAGAGTAATCAAGAACCAGACAGGTGGGGGCTGCGTGAACAATAATTCTACCACCCACATTCTGACACTGGGGTTGGCCGCTATTGTGACCTGCAGCAACGAACACCCGCATCTTCACCCTGAGGCTTTGCATTTAAGTCCTCAGGGGACCAGAACACTACTTTTTCCATTGTTGGTTTTCAACAGAAGCTTTCCAGAGACTTTGGTTTTTCAAATGGGCATAAAAAGCCCTTTCATATAGAGGTTTCTGTGGAGCCAAAGACAGGGTTTGGTGCTCACCCATCATGGATTCTGTTTCTACGGGGCTTTCCCTACACAGTGTTTACCACGCTTATCACCACGGTGATTATATAATAATGCAACCATCTCGGCAACATCTGTCACCGAGGAAAGGCTGTGGTGGCTTCTTAAGAACAAGGAGGCCACGGATGCTGTGCTCTTTAGGACCGGGTCCAGGGCCTGGTTCCTGGCCAGGTACTCAAGGTTTTGAATCCATCTGGACTTTCTAAATATCTCGACTTATTTCCAAACACACAGGCTTTCATCTGGCCCAAAGCATCCGAATTCCCACAGGGCTGCTCCAAGAAGCAATGGGGTAAAGAACGACAGGGCGCTTTCTAAAAAGCAAAGCACAATAGCGCTGACAATGATCACTGTTACTCTCTTTGTTCCTACCTGGATCAGGGAGCTGGAGCGGGTAACGAGCCGGGGAGAGGCGGGGGACAGGGATGGCATGGGCGGGATGCCAAGGATGGGCCAGCGAGGAAGTGCTAGGCGAAGCGAAGAGTGGGCAGTGGAGCCCGGAGGCCGGACAAAAAGGGGTGCCGGTGAGGAGGAGGGGCCCCCGGCGCGCCCCCCGCGCCCCGCGGTTCCGCCAGATCGTACCTTTTGATACACAGCCTGGAGGGCAGGTACGCCCGGTAGCCGTCGGTGATGTACGGGTTGTCCTTAAGGGACACTGGGATCTGTTCGTAGGTGTAGAGGCGGATGCCGCGGGGCACCAGCACTGGCCAGTACTGGTAGCTGCCCAGCTCGATGTAATGTGTGCTCTTCAGCAGCTTCTGATGCATCGTCCCTGGCCGCCGTCGCTCCGCGAAAGGGGAAGTCGCCCGGACCCCGCCTCCCCGGGGAGGGGGTC